ACTAGGCTTTTCCCCCACATAACTTGAGACAGGGAAGTTCAAGGATTTAATTAATTATATTAATCTCTACATTAAGTGTGACAGGTAAGAAGAATAAAGTGATGTAAGTTCATAAAGTTATAACGTTAGACCGTTTCCCAGGAGGTACACATAACCTTACATACAAAAATAAGTTCAATGAAATAAACGAATTCAGCAAACAAATGTAATTGTACTAAAATGTAAATGTTGGACAATAAATATATAACAGCAATAGAATAGCTTTACACTACAGCAAACTGTTTTTTTGCAGTACTATTTTATATTAATTTTCTTCTTCAGAACCGGTGCCCAGTTAACCAATTCCCTGGAACCGTTAGTATGCCTGCTTAACGATCCGCTTATCGGTTCCAACCTCCAATATGCAGAAACATTTGGCCACACATCATGAACAGACTTTAGTCCCATGAAACTTAAACTGGAATGTCACTGTTTCTATCACTGCGACTTCACGAACGGGTGAACACGCGCACGCACACACACACACACACATCACTTTTGAAGTAAAATTGAGGATGCAGTGCATGTAATGCATCGAGATATCAAATTGAACTGAATCGATGACATGATAATCGGAATCGAACCGAACCGTGAGACCATTGTAGGTTCACACCCCTAATACTCTGTGCTGTGTCAGCGAGTTAATAATAATTAACAAACAAAATAAGTTATAAGTTCAATAAGTTAATACAAACAAACAAATTTGTACTTATTCCCTCACCCAATGAGAATCGATAAGAGAATCCATAAGGAATCGAATCGATAAGCAATATCGATAATGGAATCGGAATCGTTAAATTCTTATCAATTCCCATCCCTAATCAAGTGTGTCAAAATGAAAGTGAGCCAATAAGTGGTCTTCTACTGCCCTCTGCTGGTCACACAAGTGCTTTTCCATTCATATGTAGACATTTGCTTACACACACACACACGGGATATGTTATTGTGAAAATCTCTTTTAATGGTGTATAAGCATGCATTTAACATATTTCTTTGTGATGTAATAATATAAAACTATATTAAAACTAATAAAAAAATAGCTTTAAGCGTTTGTTTGTTAGCCAATGCTGAAAGCTGATAAAAAAGATTAAAAATGTCGGTAACACTTTACAATAAGGTTCATTTATTAAACAGTAGTTAATGTATTAATTAACATGAACCATGAGCAATACATTTGTTACTGTTTTTGTTCATCTTTGTTAACATTAGTTAATACAAATCCAGCTGTTCATTGTTAGTTTATGTTAGTTCACAGTGCATTAACTAATGTTAACAAGATTTTTATAAAGTATTTGTAAATGTTGAAATTAACATTAACAAAGATTAACAAATGCTGAAGGAGTATTGTTCATTCTTAGTTAATGTTAACTACATTAGTTAACATTAACTAAGAATTCGTCGCGGGGGGCGTTCCCGAGCCCCGCGACGATAGATTTGGATCAAGAACCCCGAGAGAACCTTACCTAGCGTGCAGAGACTTTCTGTTTTCGAGTTATGAGTGAATTTGTACTTGGGGGGCGTGGCCCAACGTTATACTTTCGTTTTCAGCCTTCCTGTGACACAATTGTAAATAGTAATAAATAAAATAAATAAATGCAGTCCATAATACTCCAATAGATGAATTTGGACAAAATGTGATTGTAAATGTTAAAATAATGATTTAATAAAGTCTACATTTCAATTATATATAACAATATTAGGGAGTAGTATGATGAAATGACAGCAGGGGGCAGTAAAATACCACTTATTGGCTGTTATAGCCATCCAAAATCTTATAGCCATCCAATTTACACTATTATAGCCATTCAAATGAAGAAATGATACCTTTTCTGATAATTATTGATCTAGAGAGTCCAGATAATTGTACTGCACTGGTTTTAAACATTAAGATATGACAATTTTACAATCATAGATGGAAAAGGCCATTTACAGCCAATACAGGCAATTTACCATAGGAAATGCATGGTTTTAAAGCTTTTCAACAGTTATAGCGCCACCTATTGTCCGAAACTTTGCATGCTTCTTCACCATGGTATGACACATATGCTCATCAATTTTTGTCAAGTTCTGAGTTTTTATTTATGATTTATAGGCTTTTGAGTGTATTTTGACACGCCCCTTTTCTAAATGACCCTATTATAGCCATACGAAAAATGCAAAAGTTCTACATATTTTTTAGATAATTATTGATCTAGAGAGTCCAGAGAATTGACCTAGACTGGTTTGGTTCCGATCGGGCGAAAAACCAGGGACTAGTTCGCAAAAGTAGGTTTTTAACATATTCGTGAATATTTAATGAACGATTTGATTGACAGCAATGGTTCTAGAGGCAAAGTTGTTTAGCATGAGAAGATCTATCAAATGATATGCATATTGTGGGGATGTGTGCAACACCACGTGATTACAGAGCCGTAAAACTCGTTAGCTCCAACTAGTGGCCGATTTCTTTCAAAACTCTTACAGACCTCTTGGGCCATGAGTCGAACATGCCCATCGAGTTTCGTTCCGATCGGCCTTCGTTAACCTTGTCTAATAGGTGCTCAAATTCATTGGCTAATGGCGGCCATGTTTTTTGAGTTACGCCAATTTCCTCATACACATACATGGGGCCTTGGACCAAGACACTGCATACCAATTTTCAAGTCAATCGGACTAACGGTCAGGTGGTCATAGCCCTTTTTATGTTTTTTTAATGTTATAGCGCCAACTAGTGTTCGATCGTCGCGATCTTTTGACTGTGACCTCAGACTGTCCTCATACACATATCTCTTGAGTTTGGTGAAGATATCTCATTTACTTTTCGAGTTATAGCCATTTTAGTAAAATAGGCTCCTCCCACAACGATCATTTTACTCCCCCTAGCAACCGTAAATCGAAAATTCAACTTTTTTTCAATAATTATTGATACTCAGACTCCAGAGAACATGTATGCATTTTTTTTATTTTGATCGGGCGAAAAACCAGGGACTAGTTCGCAAAATTAGGTTTTTGACAAAATTCAAAATGGCGGAAAAATTTGCATACCGGAAATGAAATCGGAGATATACGTTTTTTACTTCAGGCCTCCAGCTTTCCAATGATATAAGACACTTGAGTCTACGACATACGGTTTAGGAGTTATGAGCAGTTTTGCGCAATTGATCGCTGTAGCGCCACCTATAGGCCAATCGGGCTCATACTTTGATAACCTCTCCTCGATTTTTGTACTACCATCTGACAAAGTTTCAACTCTCCAGCACTTACGGTTTGGGCTGCACGATGCGTTTTACAGGAGAATAATAATAATAATAATAATAATAATAATAATAAAAATCAGTACAAATACAATAGGTTTTCAGCACTTCGTGCTTGAACACCTAATAATAAAAATCAGTACAAATACAATAGGTTTTCAGCACTTCGTGCTTGAACACCTAATAATAATAATAATAATAAAAATCAGTACAAATACAATAGGTTTTCAGCACTTCGTGCTTGAACACCTAATAATAATAATTAAATATCTTGTGTTGACCCAGGGACATCATATTTTTATGTTGACTCAGGGACATCATTCTTTATTTAAAAAATAATAATAGTAATATAATGTCTAATATTAGACAAACTGTAATATGTCACTATATAATATTAATAATAGTAGTAATAATAATGAAATATCTTCTGTTGACCCAGGAACATCATATTTGTATGTTGACTCAGGGACATCATTCCTTATTACTCATCTAATATAAGACAGACAGTAATTAATCACTGTATTTAAATAATCATAATAATAATTATAAAATATCTAATATAAGACAAACTGTAATATATGTAATATATGTAATAAAAATAATGAAATATCTGGTGCAAATTGGACAAACCATCTAGGACGAGTTTGAAAAATTAGTTTTTTGGGACAATTCAAAATGGCGGACATATTTATATATGACGGAAAATTACGACATAGGATGCAATCGAATCGGCATAAGCTCAGGGATCAGAAGGCATTATGGTTAAAAAGTTATTCGCATAAATATGAGTGAAACTTTAGACAGGTGGTGACGCTAGAGGGAATGAGTTAGAGACACCAAAATTGGTGTATTTGATTTTGGGATTGTCCTCTATCAGAATGTCAAACCGTTATAACTTTCCCACAAGCGGTTATTTGGGCTGCCATAGACTCCCAGTCGGAAAAATGAATAATAATAATACGAAGAAGAACGCGAACGAAAACAATAGGTGCCTACGCACATTCTGTGCTTGGCCCCTAATAATAATGAATTATCTTACTGACCCAGGGTGTTATATTGTAATATTATGGAGAGCATTTGCAGTCTATTTTTGGCCAAGTTGTATTTACTCTAATTATAATAGTGGTTACACTATTTTAAGAATATAAAAGACATTCTGAGACAACAACCCTAGAGATAATGCATGTTTTTCTACCCAGAATGTAAAGAGAAATGGAGGGCTTCATTAAGAAAAGAAAAGAATTAAGTGTTGCGTGAAGAAAGACAAAGAGGAAAAAACAAAAATATTACAGTTGATGTGCATATCCTGAAGAAAGAAGAAAATCATGAGACGTTCATACAAGAAAAACTTACAACTTTGACAAATTTTAGAAACACAAATTCTGCAAGTCAAAAGGACAAGGATAAAGGGTACTACATTTTTTACTGTATCCGGTCAGGGAACCCTGTTGATGGAAGTTACAAGAGCTCAGGATGTATGGCTTACACATCATTTAAGATTAAAAGTGATTGGCTGAGCCACAAAATCATTGTACAACGCACCAGCAAAGAGCACAATGGCCACAATGCAACTTGTGAACAAGGACACTTTCAAACAGTGTGTCCAGATTTGGTCAAACAAATTGAAGAATGGATCTCATTGGGGGTCAAGCCAGATATCATTCTACTGGAATCCCACAAATGGTCCAGATCTCGTGGACACACCGACTTAAACAACCGTCAGTACTTTGTCACTCCAAAGGACATTGAGAATATACGTACATGCTTGGTACGCCGAAGCCATTTGGATAAAGATGATGCTGTTAGTTCAGCCAAATTATTGACCAGTCACCTCAAGGATAATGTTGTTTTTTTTCAGCCTTTTTCCCATGAGAAGGATCTCATAATTATCCTTCAGACTCCCAACATGAGAGAGAATCTACACAGACATGGAAAGAACATTATATTTTTGGATGCTACTCATTGCGTCAACCAGTATAATTTTCCACTTTATACCCTGGCTATAAGAGATGACTATGGCCATGGAGTTCCAGTCGCATTTATAGTAACAGGCAATGAGAAAGAGGCAACACTAGAGATAGCTTTACAGCAGTTAAGGAGAGTGTGTCCTGCTGCACCAAGGTATGTATATATACATTTTTTAGTTTAATTAAATTTACATACTTGAAGTAGAAGTATTGGTCTGGCCCCAGAAATCTCACTGCCCTGCCAACAAATTACTCTGTAACATTTTATTTTACAGTGCATTTGTTACATATACTTAGCATAGTTATTACATTCTTAAAACAAGATTTTTTTTAAAGAAATTTACCTTCTGATGCAACACTGCATAAGATGTAATTAAAATACTTGTTTTCAGAGAATGTATCTTTAATATAGTCTCATTATGTCTTACTCCACACTGGCAGAGTTTTTCACATGTAAAAAAATAAATAAATCTGCTAATGCAGTTATAAAAAAATTAAAAAAATCTGCTAATTCAGTTATATATAAAGCATTTGTATTTATCTTTATTGAAGGATATATATATATATATATAGTTAACATGGCTATTGTTTCTTCATCCTTCTTGTATGCTATTTTGTTTCCTCTAGGTGCTTTATGGTGGACAAGGATATGTGTGAGATGAATGCCTTGCGGAAAGTCTTCCCAGAGTCAGATATCTTGCTTTGCTGGTATCATGTTATGCAAGTATGTATACATACAAATGTATATATTCTTTATATTTGAAAAATGTACCGTAAGTTAGTTATTGTCTCTTTCTTCAGGCTGTTGTCCGCTGGCTTTCGAAGACAGACTCTGGAGTCAGTGGGCCATCAAATACTGATGTTAGAACAGAAATCATTTCTTTCGTCAGAAAGATGAAGCTTTGTGCAACAGTGCGTACAATTAACAATTCAATTTTGCTTCCTTAATTGTACTATTACTATTTATATAACTATTTTAAAATAAACATTAAATCAGTTACATTTAACATTAAATCACCTATTCTTTTTTAATTTTGTTAAAATAGCATCAAGATTTTAAGTCAACTGCTGAACAGTTCCTCAAGAGGTTTGAAGATTTCCCAGCTCTTTGCTCATACTTCAAGGATCACTGGCTAGAAATAGGACACACATGGTCTGACTTTGGACGGTGCTACAACCATGCTGACTCCGATACAAACAATCTTGTTGAAAGGTAATATTTGAAATTAAACTTATGAAACTTGATTATGAGTTAATTCACATTATGTAATAGAATCACCAGCATTTTGATGTTGTTATCATATCTTAATATCAAACTAACACAATCACATTAAAACATGCATTGTTTTTCTTTGCTTGTCCAATTAGATTTTTCCATCGCCTAAAATATCAGTTTTTGGGAGGCATTAGGAACCGTAGACTGGATGATCTTATCAGCATTCTCATCAAGAAGACAGATGGATACTTCCAGGTCATTCACGATTTGCAGGCAGCTGGAAGAATGAAAAATGCCTCTTTGAAGTCAGGAGAAATACTTAAGTCTGCCTCTAGATTGGTGGAAAAAGGTTGGCAAGATAGCATTAATCTTATATCCAACGACACGTACCTTTATGAAGTTCCATCAGAACAAACCCCTGGTCTATCCTACAAAGTTTGTCCATCTGAAAGTTTTTGTAGCTGCCCAATTGGAATCAGAGGACATCCCTGTAAACATCTTGTAGTTACTGAGTTGCTGAGTAAACATGACTCTCAAAAATGTCCTGCTTTGGATCATCAAATAAACGCACATGCTAGCGTACTTAAGCAAAAGAAGCTTTACTCCATTCTGTGCTCTGACACAAAAGAGGTAGATGTACAAAGTTTATGTCATGAGAGAATTTACCACACTTCTGCGATGACATTTCAATGCACCTGTTGTACATACTCTTACATTGAGAAATGTGCTTGCCTTCTACTGGCAAGTGAATTATTTGATGTCATATCAACAAGAGCTGTACCTACTTTGTGGCAAGAAGACACGTCAATGCAGTTAAATGTGAACACTGCAGCAAACCACTCTAAAACTGAAGTGCAGAAGTTAAAGGAAATACTGGAGAGTGTGCAGAATTGGCAGACAATTCCTCAGCACATTAGCCAGCAAATTCAAAACCTGCATGACAGTGTAACAAATGCCAGCATGAGTAGATCAACAGCCGCATTTTCAGCAGTAACTACAGACCTGACAAGAAAGATAAGACCATTGTTTCCACACAGAGCAAAAAACATGAAACGAAAGTATGGACAGAAATTCAAAAGACGACAAACTAAATTATAAAAGTGAATGTAGATATGAAAAAAACAAACTAAGGCACTAAGACAATGTAAAATATACATTTAAAATTAACTTGCTAAATTTAAGTGTGCATATGAGAAATGAAGTGAAGGAGGCTGCTGATTTTTGGATGTTTATTTTACTTATACATTTTAAATGCATCGTTTTACAACATCTGAAATCTGAAAAAAAAAAAATAATGCCATCTTTAATTGTAAATAAAGCTTTTTCTTTTTACATTACTCAGCTGTCTGAATGTGTTCTGCAACAGTGATATGTTGTATATTTTAAACCAATTAAATGTAACATTACTTGCTTAACTGAGATGACAATGTTTGTTACAATTTAACAATCATTAGTTATTGTGTTCAATGGCTCAGTGAACCTCTACTTAAACTGACTGATTAAAAATGAGATGACAACATCTACCACTTGTGGTCCAAGCGTATGGGTTAGCAGACTAAAAGGTGATTCCTCTCCCAGTTTTTCCCTTAGCAAGTGCTGGAGAGTGCAGAGTGTACTCCTGTAAATATCAATGGACAGATTTTAAAGCAAGATGCAAGTTTAAAAAAATCGAAATGTGGAAAGCAACTTACTTTGCAACGTCTGCCTCAGCACTGGGAACACTTTCAGTCATGTCTAGGTTTACATGTCGCCCAAGCATGGCTCCCAGATCCTGGGCCAAATCTGTGGCCTCCCCTTCACTGAGAGCAGAGAACATGCTTATCTTTGTCTTTGCTTTGATCGGCCGCTGTTCTCTGAGCTCCTCAGGGAGATCCTCTTTACGAACCTTTAGGTAAAACCAATGTTACTGTTTTATAAATGTTTTGCTCTAATTTAAAAGTATAGCAAATAGCTATAAGGTTTATATATAGAGCATATACAAACCCTAATCAGGCTTCTTAACAGATTGTTAGACATGTTTTCTGCCATGATTCTTCTCTTTAGTTCATCTTGGGTTACAGTGTACTTCCTTTTGGTGCCTGGCACTGACAGCCTACCCAGAACTGTATAGTTTCCTCCCCGGGTTGTTTTGTTGTCTTTTTTTCCCTCAGGTATCTTTTCCTCCTCTATACCTTCTATTTTTCTTTTCTTGGCTATGTTTTTCTCTTGCTCACTCTCAGCAACCGTTTGCTCCTCTTCACTTTCTCTTTCTTCTGCTTTGTTTTCCTCTGCTTCTCTTGCCTGTGCTGCATAAACAAAACTCATAGTCAATCACCAGTATTACAAGATTATTGTTGCACAGGTTAAGTACATATCATCTGCCAAATCAAAACAACAGAAAGTTATGCTTGTGCACCCTATTAAAATATCTTCCTAAAATGTAAGAGAATATTGGCACATGATTTTAGATATTTTAACTGAATTGATTTCATCAGGCTATATTCATTAGAAAATAGACAAACACACCTTCTAAACTACTTCGCATTTTGTCCCTGATCTGTGCACGCCTTGAAAATGCATCGGCCAGTGTAAACCAGGATGAACAGTCAAGTTCATCAATTAGTTCTTTGGGAGGATCCTAGAGGAAAGAATTGAAACATAAATTATTTGTTTTATTTTAGTGACATGCACAGGGCCATGATTGAAAGAGAAAAAAAAAGTGCTAGCCAACATCTATGAAACCATTTTACTTACCTTCAGAAAGTTCTCTGCATAGAGTAACACAAATATGCCGCATTCAGACATGTTTCCTTGCTGTCCGGGTACCCGCACTTTCAGGGCTGGCATAGAATCTGCAGAAAAGGTGCGAGGCTTTTTCTTGTGTTTTTCCACATTTCTGTTAAGTAACTGAAATACAAAAACAACCTTATTAAATGTTTATCTCTATGACATTTTATTGAACTTTTTGTTAAAGCATGCCTTGTCCTTGTTTTGCAACATTATACTTGCTCATATCTTAAAGAGATAGGTCGCCCTAAAATGAAAAATCGATCAATCTATAAATCTATCAATAATTTAATCACCCGAATGTACTTCAAATGACTTTCTTCTGCCAAACAGAACACGAGAAGATTGTCATCTTTGAGGATTGTCCTTCTCAGTCAGTTTACAGTCAATGACAATTGTCATTATAAAACAGAATTATTTCAAGCTTTATAAATAGAGAATGAACAGTTCTAAAATTGCATCCATCTCTGTGACAGCCATAAACTGTAATAAAAGTGTCTGTGCACCACAGTCTAATTTTTTTTTTTTAGCCAAACAGAAAACTTTAAGGCACTTTTTTTTTATCCCTTTATATATTAACAGGACAGCTAGGAAACTAAGATTATTGTTCGCTAACCATTATCCACTTTTCAAGTTTGCTGATATCAAATTGAATTTGTCTTACTGTTACAAACGTAGTGTATGGTTTAAGAAGCCTTGGAATATAATAAATGTGTAATGACTACTACTTTCAACTGTGGTCCTTTTTCATGCTATATGGAGTTCAAAAGCTAACATACAGTACTTATTATCGTCACTGTATGATAATGACTAATCCCAGGTAACCATTTCAAAGTCCTCCTTTGTGTTCTATAGAAGAAAGTCATGTATGTTTAAAACAAATTGAGGATGAGTAAAAATTTTAATTTTGTGTTGTATTTACATAAAAATATGGGCCGATATACAACAGAACCAACCTTCGAATGTTTTGGAACACATCCATGCTGTCACTCACTTGCTCAGACTGGGAGTCTAGCATTAAAATGCAAGGCCTAAATGTACAACACAATTGATTTAACACAGAGAAATCTAATAATATAAATGTTTGGTAATGGACTAAGTAGCAGCGTTATTTCATTGTGGGGCAACAGCGCCAAATATAATTACCCAAATGCTAAATACATATTTACCTCCTTTTTTGCACCAATTTTCGTCCGCTTTTGATGTGTTCCACTTCTTCATTTCCAGGGAAGCACACAATCATGAGTCTCCAGTGATTTCTGAAAATCATTAATAGACAATACAAGTAAAATAAGTTTTGATAATTCGCCTTTGGCTAAGCCACACCCTAGAATGTAGATTGACCAATCACAGCGCAGCCAAGAACGAGCTCCCACAGAGGTCCGACACTTTTTCACAGCGCTCCATTGACTTTAACACAGGCGTCTCATATTTTTAGTCTCGGCAGGCTCTTACCGTCGTAGTTTTATCAAAAATATGGTTAAACGTTGTGCCTGGGGCATTTGTAACACAGATACGCGTTTCCCAGAGAGGTTGGAGGGGGTGTGCATTTTTTTCCCTTCCCAAACCGAAGTCAAATCCTGACAAGTGTCGTCTAGCACACGCTGCTAATAAATACAGCGTTATACTCGCGTAGTCCGTTTGCTTTGTAATAACGATTATAGAAGTGAATAGAGACCTACCCAGCTTCGCATGAACAGTGTTGCTCCTTGATATTGTGAGTCCCAGCCTCCGTCTCGATTAGTAGGATATGCGGTGGCTCATTTTTTGACTGTGACCGGTTTGCTTTTGCCTCTATTTGGATGCCTTGTTGTTCCTTGCGTTTCACCTGTATGTCGTGAATATAGCCTTCGAACGTATATTGCAGCCCCTTTTGCCTACTTCTATCGGACACTTTATTTGCTGCTTTATAAAAGTTTGATAAAATGTCAGCAGGAAGAGCTGTCACAGCATAAGCCATGTTGATACCAGAGCCCAGATGAAGTTTGTTTGTCGGACGTAGCAACAGTAACTAAGGGGGGCGGGGCTTAGCCAAAGGCGAATTGCATATGTGCCATTCACAGTGCTACTATTTTAAGGGGCACCATCACTTCCATTATTATAAATGTTTAAATGGGCATCTAATATGTAACATGAAAAGTTAATTAGACTGGTTATTGCATAATAAACCCCAATATGTGTTGTTACTGAGAATCAGCAGACTGTTACAAGGTGCGACTGGCCATTCATATTTGAGCTTGACACAGAGCTGTGTAATAAGTCATAACAACCAGTAAATAAATAAAGTTCTCACCTAAGAACATTCTCGACTATCAAAAGATAGTCCTTTCGAAAAATGTCCTCATGTTTTGTCCAGTTGATGACACCAGAAAATCCACTAAAATTGCACAGATGACATGATAAATCATGTGGTTACAATTATTCTTCAAGAATAGGATTCAATATATAACTATGACACTACATGGCTTCTTCAAGAGCCATGCAAGGCTAGACACTGTAGCATGAACATCTACAAATATATAAAGAGAATCTGGCTGTGAAATTCAAATTCATTTAATGATCCCTTTCTCTATGTTAACATATCAGTAACTCCTACCTGTTTTTTAATTTAGTGTAAAAATGCACTGGGTAGATCAAAGATTTCCGCCTTATATGACGTCCTAATTCTTCATGAACAGACCTAGAAAGATTTAGTTGAAAATTATTGCTAAGAATATTATGATTTGCAGTTTTATGCTGCTTCAAAAGAATTACCTCAATGCAATGTCTATGACAATGTCATTCAGCCACATTCCATCATCTAGTGTCGCAAGTGACTCTTTCGTCAATAAGGGCACACGGAAGGACCTCAAAGGAAAAAAAGGAAGAAAAAAACAACACATTTTTGTACAAATGTTGCAATAAGGCAAATTTCTGGTTTATATACAGACAGACAATATTTTAATAATATTTACCCTTTATCTTTCTCCATAGATGATCTGTACAAAGAAAAAAAAATTATGTTAATTAAGAAATTTGAAATTGGTTTCATATTGTGATCATCTTCAAATGAGATACAACTTATTGAATGAGCTATGAGGTATGATGCGCCTGGGTCAACAAAATATATTGTATTATTATGATTATTTAAATACAGTGATTGATTACTGTCTGTCTTATATTAGATGAGTAATAAAGAATGATGTCCCTGAGTCAACATAAAAATATGATGTTCCTGGGTCAACAAAATATATTTAATTATTAGTATTATTACTATTATTAATATTAGACTGCAAATGCTCTCCATAATATTACAATATAACACCCTGGGTCAGTAAGATAATTCATTATTATTAGGGGCCAAGCACAGAATGTGCGTAGGCACCTATTGTTTTCGTTCGTGTTCTTCTTCGTATTATTATTATTCATTTTTCCGACTGGGAGTCTATGGCAGCCCAAATAAC